TTTACTAATACTTCAAGTTCAAACAGCTGTTTTTCCGCTTGATCACTCAGACGGGTATGGTGAACGCATGGAAGAAATATAATGAGTGCTTAGGGGAAACTTTGTTGAATAACTTCAAGATGAACGTCTATTTGCAACATCGCGGAGTTGGAACTGCTTCAAGGTCTTCTCTTTGCCCTTCGTTGAAGGTAGTGGCACCAGTAGTTTGAAAAAATGGAGAACATGTATGGGATGTTATGAGGCTATCGCAGAGCAGTACCATCTAAATATCTGATACTTGATACTTGAATGGCCCATCCTCACAGGTTGTCCGGACCCCAGCATAATCTCCATTTTCGGAGATTTGCTGGTTAAGCCATTGTGGTTCCCTGGAATCCCGAGGTCAGCCTGGCCAGTCTGCCCCAGGTTTTCACCGCCACATACAGTCAGCCCATTTGGATCAGAAGGAGATTTGCCACCATGCGACTTTGATACCAGCACGGTGGTGAATCCTGGTATTGGTTCACTCTTAGCTGGGCTTTCTGATGGGAACGCCGGACTCCTCAGCCTGGGAGACCCTGCCGCCGGGACGAATCCCCCGCTGTACATCGCAGTCCGACACCCAGGAACACCTCCCAGCCACGATGAGGCGGTAAACCGCTGGGAGGACCATCAAAATACGCTATTGTAAGTCCAACAAAGGGTAGCATTAGGTGAAGACGTTGTGACGAACGCAGAATATCACGGTATTGACCACGCATAGTGTACGTCACCAGTGCGCGATTGCATGTGAAGATTGTTGATTGTGGTAGAAATCGGGGGAAACTTCGTTAGAAAACCGTCGATTACCTACAAATTGTGTAAGCAGTGGGTCGTAAGATAAATGTGAAATGAAAGGGTAATAAGACTTGATGACTATTTCGAAAGGAAAAGTGCGTTGAATCCCATTGATGAGCGCATACTCCGCGGTCACCGAGACACTGAAGAAGTCGCCTCAGTAGTTTACGGTGTTATCATAGCCAATGTCTGCCTCTATGTTTTCAAATCCAGCTTTCAGATAGAGGCCTATGCCCTTTAACTTTAAGTAATAGTGTCTTGTCGCAAATTAACTTGTACAAAAAGAGCTTTTTTGTTAATTATCGAGTGTAGTGCATAGCTTTTCACGAGACACTCCTGACACTTCATTTCTGCTGGTGAAGTCAATGAAGATATGTGCACTTATTTTAATATACGCGGTCCAGTACGTGTTAATAGCCTACCTAATCCAACTATGCTAGTAGTTGAGTACGACTGTAATTCCCTATTCTAGCAAACATCATTATTGGCAAAGCAGACCATCTCCACTTGTTAGGGGCATCAGGAAAGTAAACGTATTAAAATATCTATGCAGACACGATTCGTGAAACTATTTATTCAAGTATCCAAGTGATTAAGTAAAGCAAAGAGATAGCGTCCAGATTTTTGTGGTCTCTGATGATGATTCCTAACGAGGAGGTGATTAGGCTAACCTCTTCGCATAAATGGTCCATACTTTTGTAGTAGCTTTGTCGTTATGTATACTCAAATGACTGTGCTCTTCAGAAGGGCTACGTGTTGTTTTTCAGTAGAAAACTACGATGTGCACTGTAACAGCAAACTCTTGTGGTGACAGTTCAATAGCGTTCTGGGTCCGTTGTTGAGAGCTGTCTAAAGGTTTCTTAGAAAATTTTCATGATTAGCAAAATGATCAATTGCGCTATACCCCGTATGACTCTTGGAGACGAACCATCCAAGTATCCACGCAGTACTATGCACTTGAGCAGATGCCATTGGATGTCACAAAATGAAAAAAAAGTCGTCGTTAGACTTTCTCTGAAGGCCTTGATGTAATACGATGGAATTGCTTTGGTTTTCCATACGACGAAATTCCGTGTTGCCAAGCACCAGTTTGAGAGGCTGCTATCACCTGATTGTTACATAAGTCGATCTTCGAAGACATAGCTTATTAACTTCTTCATAAGCTTTCAGAATTGTGATAGTACAAGTCTCTAGCTGTTTTCCAGTAATATCACTGTGAGATAATGTGATAAAGTTCAAGTATAAAAGGAACATTTCCTAGCAAAGATGAGCTCACTTCACTAACTAACTTTCCTCCGCTCCACACTCACACCGTGGAATGCTACTAATTGGTAAGTAATCAACGAATTATTGTTCCTTTTGGATAACACTTGCGAACCAACTAAAGCGCTTTTTGAAAAGTCTAGTAAGCTTGCATTGTGATGAAGTAAACTTTGAGGAAAATAGCGATATAAAGATCAAAAATCAAACCACCATCGAAATCTTTCCCGTTGGTTCGAGCAGCTTCTGTTCATCGATACAATGCCGATTCGACATCAGAGCGGAACAGTCGGATTTTGTAGAAATTGATTCAGAGAGTTTCGGACTTCTTGTTTGGAGCGATTTCGCTTATGACAAGCTGTTAGCTACGATGAACCCATGGTAACGCGAGGGGTCCGGATAGTGAGTATGCTATGAGTAAGACAGACTTCCAGTAGAAGTCTACTTCTCGATGACAAATTCACATTGTGTACGTGGACATTAACCTAGCTAAAAATATTTGTGTTCACACAAGGTTGATTGAATCGGGAACGGTGTCTACTTCGTTGTCCATTCTGCGCTTAACGGTTACCACTCCACTGAAAGTGATGAACCTCTTCTTTCTAAAATCTTGTTCTCTCTCCATGCATCAGAGTTTATTAGTTGTTCGGATAACCTTACTATAAAGGCCTAGACCTGAACTTCGCTTTGGCCACATATTCAACACATAGCCACGTGATATGAGCAACACTCTTCTCGAAGTTCATTTCCATGATAAAGAGATTGTTATCAGCGTTTTCTGGCCATATCCAGAATGATTGTGTTTACGGTGGTAGCTCTGTCATTTTAATGGAGCCAGACATTCGTATGGCGCTTTTGGACAATGAGAAGTAAAGTCGACGTGCATCAACTACAGACGATGTATCATAGAGGTCCCACACTCAGGTTCTAGCCGTGAACGGACAGTCCTGACAGTAATTAGTTCTGAATACTTCGGAAAATGCTTGTCCGTTGTGCACGATCGTTTTTACTAAAAAGTAATTAGGGATTTCGCGTAGAACAAAACTATGCGAAATCGAATGGGCTGTTTAGATGATCAAATAATGATTAATTTATTGTACCAAGTCACTTGGAAGCTCGAAAACTAACGCAGTCGTAGAAACTTCTTGATAAGCACAAAGTTGTAGACAAAGGAATACGTCTGACGCTTTTCCATGATTTTTCCACTCGATAGAATACCCAATAAATTCCTTACTCCCTTACTAGAAATTTGGAGAACATTTTATACTCTCCTTGTATAGCTCGGTTTGGGGGTGTGTAGCGCAGTGCTTAACGGCGCCCATCAATACACACGAGCTCGATCTTCCTCCCCACAATCACCAAGCTTTCCATCCCTTCGGGGTGGGCAAATTAGTACCAGACCTTTACGAGAAGATAGTAGGGATAAGTAGGGCACGGGATACGCAATACAACGGTAGACCACCCCAACTCGTTGTATATTCCGGATATGCATTTTATCACCTTTATCAGTGCTCAATGAAATCGGATGTAAGGCACATTCCATAGGGATTGATGGACTTCGAGAGCTTTATCCTTATCTTATCTTATCTTATGGCTTGGTTTATAATAGTCCAGTTTATGCAATTCTGACAAACAACTGAAGTGGAAGTGAAACTGAAAAGTCGAATCAAACACGTTTATTTTTCTGAACTTCGATTTCAGATCTACTAACCCTTCTACTTGTCTCAACACACTGCTTCTCAGCTTTGTCGAAGAATTCCACGGTAATAGGCTCGCTCCTGTTGTTTTTCTACTGAATGAAACTGATCGCCATTAGGGATAGCGTGTAATAGTTGAAAGACATTACTGAGTTGAGTTTTCAGACTAACACTAACGAATGGAAGTTCGTCTTAAAGCCTCCTTTTACTCACAATGAATTCTCTACTTCACAAAAAGGGTAGGCGTTAAGTGGAATCCCGTCTGTTCAAATTCTTCCACGATTGAAATACGAACCTTGACACAGAAAAGTGAAATGAATCCGCGTCATTAGCTCCAGAAAACTGGATTTTCGGTAGATTCCAACGGTTTCTTCCGAAATACACAGATATGATATAAGCTGGGACATGATGGCCTAAAACTGAAGGTGCTCATCGTTTTCGCATAAAATGAATCGCAATGAATTCACGTTGAACATGAGGTCTTTAAATACGTGTTACTTACTTACTTGGTACTTGAACGGCACATCCTTAGTCGTTGTGGGGACCTCAGCGTAATCCCCATTTTTCGGAGATTTGCTACTTAACCATTGTGGTTCCCTGCAATCCTAAGGTCAGCCTGGTCAGTCTGCCCCAGGTATTCACCACCACAGGCAGTCAGCCTATGTGGATCAGAGGGAGATTTGCCACCATGCGACTTTGATACCAGGTCGGTGGTGGATCCTGGTACTGGTTCACTCTTAGTTGGGCTTGCAGATAGCAGCGCCGGATTCCTTCTCAGCTTGGAAGACCCTGGCAGAGGGATGAATCTCCTCACTGTAGATCGTAGACCGACACCCAGGAACACCTCCCAGCCACAGTGAGGCGGTAAACCGTTGGGAGGGGAATTCGGGTTGGATTTATTAAACTGGTCGGCAGTTCACATTTTTCGCAAAAGGCTTAAAAGTCTAATAGACGAAAGTTCGTTGGTTTTCTTAACAGCATTTTTGCAACACATTTTGTTGATGAGACAAGAAAGCTTCGCACTGTGTCGTATTTGACTTCGCAATACTTCTGTGACAGGTGTTTTGTGAAATTATGAAATTAGAAAGGCAATAAGTAAAATGATCAAGGTATTTCCTAACAAGCATGGATTTGTTGGTGTTCTACGGCTTTGAAGTCGTTTTTGCTTTACGGCTAGACTGAGCGGCGTTGTGATGAAAGTTATCGTTCAGTACTTCACTTGTTGCGATGCCTGACAAGTGCTTTCCGCCGTCGGATTTCGTTTCCACACAACTCTCCAACAATACAATCGGTCATCGTCGAGTCCTGATCAGAAGAACTGGTGCCAGAGTCCTGTTGGTCATCGTCCGCAACGTCACTGGTGCAGCACCCCTTCAGAGACTTTCTTTCAATACCACGCTTTCTTCCACATCACAAGTCAATGGTTAGTGAATGTCTAGTAATCAATTAGCTCGTGAAGAGTTTTTAGCTTTTCTGAGAATTCAAATTCGAATCAATTTTCTTTCTTCATTAATCGGACGACTACTTCATTATATTGGAAAGGTATGATTATGCTAAAAGACACTTGCTTAGACCGACCGAATTCAGAAGTAGCGACAACGCTCAAATCACTGGATGAATTCCGAACAATGAGAAGGTTTCACTTTGGAAAGTGAGTATGGATTTCTATACTGTAACAGTAGCCTTCTATATGGCCACTGCATGGCATATCAACGGACGATGGGCTAAGACTGCGTTAGGTCTAGAATTCCGTCTGGATACCAAATGGAATGGAAATGTTGACCTGTTTTTAAGAAGCGCTTTGCGGAGATTGCTAACTGTTGGTAGCTCATAAAAGGTCTGAAAAAGCACCACGTCTGGAACTCAACGTTCGCCATCCTGGCATTTGGTCTAACTGTGTGAGATTATAATTTGGGTTCTGCTAATGGAGTACTTTTAGGCAGTTGTCGACGTACTTTGACATTCAGAAGAAATCCGAAAGCATCCATAAATTAAGTAATGTCTAGATTATTTAGAGAAGTGCCGATACTAGCGATCTTCGCCTGTGTCGTTTCCTACTGTGCTCTTATCGCTCTTGCCTGTGCCTTCCTTCATTATGAAGAATGGGATGATGCTGAAGATACTGATGAAGTTCGTCTAGGTTCCATGGTCATATGACATTTAATCAAGTGCTATTTTAATGACCTAATGCAGTTTGTTCAAAAATGTGAGATGTCTTTTGCAGGAAGTGGACGTTTTCGGGGACGTTGTCGAGGAAATTCATGAACAACGAGTGCGAGAGGCCAGCACCCAGACATCTCCTGTAGTTGGGGTGTGGCGTGTTGAGAAAAGCATACATAGCGTCATGTTGAACGAAATCCCGCTAAGAGAAATTGTTCCGTGGAACGGACAATCACATCAAAGCGAATGCTAATCTCTCTGATGTCGATGTCTGGTCGGTAGTCGATAAAGGTCTTGTCATCATAAAAGTGGATCTACCTTTTGTTTTGCTCCTACCTGAAATGATGGAAACTGTTTTGCTTTCATTCCGTAGTAATTATTTATAAAAAGATATTAGAGGGAATAAAAGGGAATAAATAAGACGGCTCAAGACAAGATTTAGTTTCCTCCAATTTCGTCTAAACTGCCATCGAATAGTTTAATCCGAAGAGTTAACAATGAAAGAGAACATATACGTAGACTTGATGCCAAGCATAGATATTGATCAATTTCATGGAGTTCCGTCGATGAAGTGATATGTAGGCGAGTAGGTTCTTGTTCTGTTATAGACAGTATTGCTTTTAGATCGTAGCTCTAAAAGTTCAAATTGATTATGTATGGATTATGTGAAGAAAATGAGTACCAAAAATGAGGATCGAAATCTTGGTTTCAAATCAGAAAACGGCGGCGCAGTAGGATTTCGTGGACCCGGACAATCATTGGAAATACCGCTCTTCGTCTGACATCCTGAGAATAAGCTATAAGATTTTATGTTTTAGAGAATGGGGCTGAAAAAAAAGTTGAAAAAAATTTCTGTTATAAAGTAAGAGCCCTCCCGACGGTTTTTCGCTTCATAGTGGCAGTGAGGTGCTTCTGGGCGTCGGGCTGCGGTGTAGAGTGGAGAGAATAAACCAGCACCAGGATCTACTACCACCCTGGTATCAAACTAGTCGGGTGCTGGCAAATCTGCCTCTAATTCACAAGGGCGGCGACTGCCTGGAATGATGAAAACCGGAGCAAGGTCTTTGCGAGGCTGACCTCAGGAGTCAATCACAATGGCTAACCCAGAAAATGTAAAATGTGCTGTGGATCGCACAACCAGTGAAGCCGAGGCATCCAAGTGTCCAAGCAAAGGAGGGGAAAGCGTCAAAACATTAGCCACAGTGAACAGTTTCTGTTAATAAGCTCATGTTAGCTCAACAGATACTGAGTGTTTTTGCAGAGGTTAATGACGTTCCGTTTTTAAAAAAAGAACAGCTCATGGTTTTTTCAAAACGAATATGAACTTAGCTGGGCTGCTAAAAAAATTTTAGAAGAACTGAGATTGAAAAGAATTGCTCTCTTACAATCCAAACCACAAATTTTTTTGCAGAGTTTCATATTCTTTTATAATGACCGAGAAGCACTATTAATAACAGACATTAGTCAAAACATTGATAATTGTTGAAGCAAATTATTACCACAGAGCCGTGCAATGTATAGGTATCGATTGATTGCCGCCTAATCAGAATTTATGAAAGGTACTTCACTTGCTACTTAATTTTTAGTTTACTGTGTTCTATATAAACTAGGGGTACGTGTGGCGCAGTGGTCGGGGGCGCCCTGCAATACACACGTGGAATCGATCCGCGCTTCCCTGGCCCAGCAAGCCTTCCAACCCTCCGGGGATGGCAAATTGGTGCCACATTTGTCTGGGAGAGTAGCAGCACTGACTCGATACAACGGTGGGCCACCGCGAGTCATTGTAAAGGCCAGATATGCATTCAATCACCTCTAAACAATGCTTAATGAAGTCGAAGGCATGGCGTATCCCTCAGGGATTGACCAACGCCGAGAGCTTTATCTTTTTTTTTAATATAAACTCAGGCATGGTATTTTTTGAAATTTATACCGACATATATAAATTAATCCTACCATTTTTTTTCCGTGAAAGTCGCACACGAAATATGCAATTCTGAGAAGATAATATTTTTTGTGAAATATAACTCGTCTGGTGTGGATGGTGGTGTAGACCCGGATGGTGTAGTGGTGAAGTGCGCTACTCCCCGGTAAGGACAACAGCGCGTGTTCGTTCCCCACTGCATACACCTGTGGTCCGGAGTTTTGCAAATATCTCAGCACTTCATACGAGTCATATTTCACAACATACCCTGCCATTAAGAAGAAAAAGGCAGTAAATAAAAGAGTTAAGATAATGTTTTTTGTTATAAATTTGAACTAACACAAATACATTTGAAAAATAGAAATTTGGAATCATCAGCTACCATTGCACCTCTCAGGAACAATCCAGTATTCTTTAGTCTTCTATGGCCCAACAAACAGTTTACAACTAAGTCTCTGACATTTCTGTGTTCCTTAAAGCTAACTGGGTAGCCACAGTGGTTTCTTAAGGTGATGATGAATTTTCTTCAGAGCAACACAAATTTTTGCTGACTGACTGATTTAACCGCAACTGACTTGATATCCTACAAATGGGTCTGAAATCCGCGTTCTAAGTCGCTGAGTAGAGTTCCATATCTGCACTGCGCACCAATTGTCATCCAACTTCCTGGAGTCTATCATCCACAGAACAAATCCACTCTTATGCACAAACGCCCCGTCTGCTTGGTTATGAGATAGCAGAAGCTAAATCCCTCATTACTCGTCCTTCCTCTCCACTGCCTATTGAATCATTTATGATATTCTAGTTTTCTGATCCGCTCACCAATTTTCAGCCGTTAGTGCAATCTCTCACCGTCCAGACTCAGAGCTTCTGCGTACGTCGTGCTGCCTAGCCGGTCGGCTATCCGTCTCGGATATCTCCCTCAGTGCTTCATCGATTTCCCTTCACCTCTCGCCTACTGTATTGCATGTCTACCTCATGTTGTGTATTCTAAGCAAATCCTACATCATGATATACTTTGAATTTTGACATAACAAATCATAAACTCTGCATGAGCTAATAAACAAATCTTCTCTACACTGGCATATAGTCGCTAGTATTTTACGACCTTTAATTATTATATAAATTCCTCTAGAAATCATATCGAATCAGTTATAATATTTTGTTGCAAAAATCCAGCAGCAATCGGATTTGAACTAAAGCGCTACGTAGCCGTATTGGATGATACGACCACAAGTAGCTACGCAAACAATGGAATCAGAATCCGGGCTGGAAGGATTTTTGAAAACTCATACAATACTATTTACAGAAAAATACCCTGACACACGAACAACAAATGATAAATAAAGAGAAACATCTAAAAGAATTGGACTTATGAGTTGATGAGATCGACTTGTAGAGAAGTAAAGTGAAAAAAAATGGCATATCGCAATAGGAAATACCGTAAAAATTCAACGATGAGATCAAAATCGTGTCACTGCCACAACTTCACTCGAACTCTATGGAGCCTGTATTGACTGAAAGAAAGTCTGGATACCAGCCGACGTGCTAAGCAGTACTGTACTGCCTCGACTGTCAGCACGTCATTCTAACCGGATCACTGGCGCCGATAACGACGGCTGTCGAACAGCATGGTGTTATTGAAACTTCAGTTCCTGTGACAACGTGGTCCCAGTGTGCTGATTCTGGTCGAAGTAGCTGGGCAACGCAGTGAACGACGGCGGGCACTTGGCGCCACCGGCAGCGGCCTGCATGAGACGGGGCGCCTGTGGTGCCCCGTTGCGACAGCGGAATTGGGACCTGAAATCCCTGTAGAGGAATAGTGGGAGAACTGGCTACTTGTAAGAAAAAATTGACAAGAAGTGTAGGACTGAGTGATAAAGTGATTACAGTGATTTTGACAGTATCTGTGTAAAAAGAACTCTACAAGTAAATGACAGTGTGGGCATTTCATATTTGTAATGTTTCTAATACATTCTAGGAAAAAAATTTCACCCAAAACTTGTCGTTCACACCTTTGGTAGAGTCTAATATTGAACTGAAGTCATTTCAATTGTCATTTTCCAAAGTTTTCCTCATGGCGAGCTCTTAGCGATAGTAATACCATATTGATTAAGGAAATTTCCGGTGGTTGTTAAACTTTAGATCAAACATTTTTAATGCAGTCGTGTAGTCGATGTTTAGTGAGATTACTTCGAAATCCCTGGAATCTATCGCAGTTCCAATGAGTAAGGATTTTTAGATACTGCAGAAGGAGGGACGAGAGCTAGCTAGTGATTGTGATCAGCAGAACAATGGAATTCAGCAGAACGACCATGAAAAGCAAACAACCAAACATTTCAGTCACTTTTTCAAACTTTCTCATGGCAACATTCGAGATTAGTTACCTTTTCTGTTTTTGTCGTTGATTGCAGAACCACACACGAACGACATTTTTCTTCAGATCCAATTTGTCGGCTATGGCTGCGATTCGCTCACCAGATGGCCGAGGCTGTTGTCTGTAGGAAACTAGATCCTTGAGGAACTTATATATTATTCATATACGTACATATATATATATACTCTCTAATCTCTCAAATTTTTTCCACCAGTCTTTATTTGCACTTATTTGTCACGACCAGGCTTCTGAACCCTTTTCAACTTTTTTTTCTAAAACCAGTTGTTCTGCGCCTGCTACTACTTTTATTTACCAAATTGTTTGATTTATTTATTTCCTGTAAAGGGGAGGAGCACGTGTGGCGCAGCGGTTGCAGGTGCCCTGCAACACACACGTGGAATCCATGCCCGTGGGTTCGGCAAATTAGTACCAGACTTATCTGGGATAGAAACAGTGGCTCGATACATCGGTAGGCCACCGCGAGTCATTGTAAAGGCCAGATATGCATTCAATCACCTCAAACTTAATGAAATGAAATGAAATCATGCTTAATGAAATCGAATGCATGGCTTATCCCTCAGGGATTGATCAACGCCGAGAGCTTCATCCTTTTATCCTATTATATACATATGACTTATATATACAAACAAGCAATGGATTTCTTTTGGTCTAAGATAGTGGTCTACCATCCATCGATTATAATGAATAGGTTCAGCGAAAACCGTTTGTCGATAACAAAAATCTAGTCACCAAAACTTCTTTCTTCTCCTGCAAACTCCAGACTTAAAAACAGTGCGCACGGTATGCCAGATATTCTTTAACAAAAAGTATTTCTTATTTTTTTCTTAAGTAACCTTGAGAAAAAGTGTCCCTTAGAGCGCATAAGACCTACTGGACAAGCGAACACAGCGTAAGCAAGTACCCGGCCTTTCTTTTCTTCAATTCTATAATAAATACTTTTTCTTGTCACCTAAAGTAATCTTCCAGAAGACGTTTTTCTGGGGCTGCGATGCTCGTTCGTTTTCGTTTTTTGTCCGTATTTGGCAGGATTCCCGAAATGTCACCACAACCGTCCTTTTGCTTCACAGCCTCTTCAGCCTGAGAAATTCATTTCATTTTCAATTAGAATATTGAGAATAATGAAGAAAAGCCCTCAGATGTTCTACAAATGCAATTCTGCTTTACCTTTTCAAGCCAACTATGCAGTATCGGCTTCAACGCTACCATGTTGTTATGGGAAAGAGTTAAGGATTCGAAGCGACAAATCGTCGATTGGGACAGAGAGCCCACGCCGGGCATTTTCAAATGCGCCAGCGCTTTTCCGACGTCCGCCTTCAATCACAGTAATTTTCCATAGTTTTCGAGAAATATGGAATATGTGGCAAAAGAACAGTTGTCGTACCTGTGTAACACCCAATTTGATTCGTCGCTGCTTAAAATGTTCAGCAAATCGCTCCAATTCTCGTGGATCGGTGTCGATCTCTGATACAAATAACAAATGGACTTTCCAAACTTTATCATTTTTTGTTTTTAAATTTTTCCTTGCCTATATAGAAAAAAAGCCGTGCTCTATTACAATTCATTCACGTTTTCAGGTGATTTAAAGGTGCTTATCCTTATCAATTTCTATTCAGAACCATAAATTCCAAACATGAATGAAGTATACCTGTAGTCGGAGCTGCTAGTGGATAACGAGCAACTTGTGGTGGAATCGCAGACGGAAAAGATGACGCCATCGGGTACTGGTGAAAATGTGACGAAGCGCTATAGTTTTGCATAGCCATCACCTAAAACATATCCTCTTATTTTCCCGCGGAAGCTTCCAAGGTTTATCCACGTTTCTGGAGAATCTGGAGTCTTACCGCCGATGTGGACGGTGGTGTTGGCCTTACCTGCTGTAGAGGTGTCATTTGTTCTTGATCCGATGACGTTGGGACCAGCATAGATGCGTCGAATCCCTCAGAAGCTGCTGGAAGTCCGTGATAGATGTTTGTTGCGTCTTGAGTGGATGTCATCAAGTAGTTACTAAATATTCTCAATCTATAACTATGGTTTCCTATTACCTAACCGTGCCCGATTTTTATTCATGCCTGATTATTTTTAATCTAAAAAACAATCACCTAAGCCATTTTTATGAAAAGGGCACAGAGCTTGTTATTATGTATTATTTTTATTCAAAACACCTGACGTTTCGACGGATTTCGCCTCCTTCAAAAACTGGAAAGGTCAGGTTAAGTGCAATCTAGTCAGCAAACCCCCTTCCCCCAACCCCATTTCCATGACCTCAACAGAAAACTACGATGCCTAATTTCTAATCGAATTAGATATAAAACAGATATTTCACACACTCACCAGTTTTTTATGGGTCTTCTGATGGGTTTTCCACGTGAGGACCAACCGGACAAGGCTCATGTGGATAGGTAATGATCCCCTCCTACGTTAAGATATCAGTTTGAGATATTGTGCTTGATCTCGTGTGATAATGAAGCACTCTTTTTTGCGGTTCATTTTTGAATCTTGGAAATTAATCTAGCATGCTTTAGGGAGTTACGCGCCAATGTTTTAGATTTCTACACGAAAATTACGACTTCTACTTCATAACCATCCCGTTATGTGTCTTGAGAATCAACTAGGCACTGATGAAGTCAGATAAGTGCTTTCTAAGTTCTTTGCTAAGAAATCTACGGTAATGTAAACACATACGGGTAATCAACGTTCTAGAATAAAATCTTCCTCTACAAACACAGTATGAAATGAATTTCTTTTTGTGTTTTCTTCGGTTATTCTCTGCTGAAGTTGAAATTTTTGCTCTCAAAGAGCTCATATGAATCTTAACACCACACTAGGTGTATTGCATTACCAGTTAAACATAAAAACAGATTGGCTAATGAACCTGAACATGTCGTGAGGTCGCATGAGTGGGTTAGTGATGTTCACCTTCATGTCCATGTCAGCCAACGCCACTTGAGCAGCTCGAGCTTGGAACAGCGGATCATCAAATGAACCGAATAATGAGTTGTTGAACTGAAATTCAAAAAAAATTCAAAGAAAACCGTTGTCTGGTGGCTAAGAACTGTTCTGTTGCTTTCACTGGTAAATTTCTTTTTGTCAGTTTTCTTGAACTATTTGCAAACTATTTAAGAGAGAATGGGCTTTTGTATGGTGATGTTACTGTCGCTAGGTGATCTGCTGACAATAAGGGGAGTATTTTCTTCATTTATTAAACACGTACTTGATGACGAATATTTAAAAAAAAAACCTGTTAAAAAGACGATGCTGATAAATATTTTGCAAGGACTCTTTGGAAAATGTATTTCTGAGACCTATTTGGAAATTTGGGCGGCCTGTCCTCACTAGAACTGCGGGCCCAAGCATAATCTCCAGTTTTCGGGGTATTTCTGGTTTAGCTATCGTGCTGCCCTGGAGCCCGGCGGTCAGCATAGCCAAAGCCTGCCCCATGTCGTCGCCATCACAGGCAACCGCCACCCTTTTGGATCAGAGCGAGATTTGCCACCACCATGCGACAGGTTTCATACCAAGGCAGCGGTGGATCCTGGTACTCGTTTATTCCTAGCTTCCTAATGGAAAAACCGGACTCCTTGGCTTGGGAGACCCTACCGGTAGGAAGAATCCCCGCGCTGTACATTGCATAGTAGAATAAACGATGACTTGAATAGTTAAATGCATAGAGATCGATATTTATTTGGAGAAAATAAAGAGAAGCCAAGTCATGAATCTTTTTCACTAAAAACTGAAAGAAAAGAAACTACTCGGTGAATAGTTACAGCACATGGAAAGAGCCGCTCTCTTAAATGCTTCAGAGATAAATCGATTACAACACCTTTTCCCTTTAATACTTGATTATAAAATAGCTGTAGAAGCCTAGCGAGCAACTATTTTTGTTACAAATAATAAAGTCGTACAGTTTCCAATGATGAGAAAAAAAACATTTCCAATTATGAGAGGAAGGATTCTCAGTAATTTCGCTAAATACTGTTCTGGGTCCACGATAGAACGCTGAGTACCTCGATGGAAAGACGGAACGTCAACTGATATTCTAATTTCTCCCGTAAAACTCAGGCATGGAAATCGATGTCGAGCACAACTGGAAAACATCTGCCACCGTAGCCTTTGCCAATCCCGTAAAGACACGTGATGCTAAAGGACGTGTTATGTGTTAATGAAAATTTCTTACCACTCAATGTTCGTATGACTAACATTACACTTCATATGGCAACCGTACTTCCGATTATTCACTTCCAACAGAAGAATTCTCTCCGTCACTTCAATGTAAGATAGGTGCCCGATGCCAAATGAGGCTCATAGGATGGCACGGTCCTGGATGGGTGCAGGTACTCAGTATGTGACAGTGGCCAGCCGGCGAACTATCTGTTGGCCAAGAGTCAACGTCCAGCTTACCAATTCACATTTTTGATGCCGTGTTAGTGAATAATTGACTAATGTTATTAATTAAGTATCAAGTGTTGTTTTCCATCACTTGTAAATTTATGAGTGGAATCAATTTTTAATTCAACGACGCCATAAAATACGCAATGAATTTCAATAATGGATGTAAGAAGGAAAACAAAGTAGACCGCGCGTAGGAGAGCATACATCTGCCGTGATGGCTGAACAGCCAAATCGCATTTAACTAGGGGAAGCAGTAGAGAAACAAATGAGATCTAACCAGTTAAGTAAAGAGAGATTTCGAACGAGATTGTGTCAATAAAGCAAGATTTCCAGAAGAATCGCTTAGATGGAGGGAAGTAGTAAGACATGACGAAAATCGTAAAAGATTATGCTAACCGGCTGCATTCTGCTTCTGTAGGCGGACGACGGTGAGTAGCGTCCGGACGATGCTTGTCCAATCGATCCACCAAGATGACCCTGAAGACTGCTTAGGGAAGGATAGAGTCGTTGGGGTTCCTGCATTGCTACAAGTGCGGTCCGTTGGCGGGCGGTGATCTTCCCGCCCATCGGTGCAGCATCGACCAATCACGGCGGTCCTCTAAATTCACTACAGGAATCACAGAGACTGTAACTCGTCAATTTAGACATCGTGCATGCTAAGTGGTCATTCTACCATACGTATCCTAGTTTGCTGAAGATGTTGAAGAGTAATTCAATTGTAATAAGAAAGTAAAAGGAGAGGGCTTCTCAAAGAAAACAAAATAACATTGTTGACTTGAATAGTTGGTATTGTTATGGATAAGTTATTTATGATTGAAGGACTCAGAAGCAATTTGAGTTGGGTTTCAGCTGCCGATTAGCGACGGCTGGCTTGATGCTTGATTATATGCTGAAATATTAAATGCGGTAAGCATTTGACAATTGATGTTAGAGCTTCCAGAGGGCGTGGCTACCAAATGATCACCACGCTTTGTCACCGATGCTCTAAATCACAAATAACTCCATAGCTATAACCATTACTACATTCGAGTTTGTTTTTGTTTACTAAGGTTGTTTATAGTTATTATTTACCGGCGATTATCATTTGTTTAGAACCCTCGCCTCAAGCGTCATCCAAGAAATTGTGAAATTTGTGAAACCGAAGGCGTTCGTTTAATTTAGTTGCTGAGCGCACTCGAAAAATTTTTAGCATATCCCGTGCTGGTAATGCGCTGATATTTTGCCATAGAGATTGACCAGAATGAGTTTCTGCTTCGTAATGAGAAGTGAGAATCGACACGCAGGTGGAAAATGCTTCCCAGAAAGAAAACTGCGTTTAAAGAAACACTTAATAATGTATTACAGGTGTTTTGCAATATTCTTTATTTGATTAAGGCGAAAGTACTCAGAAACCATTAAGTGAAAATCGGAAGCCCTCTTTTTATAGCCGGAAGGTTGATGAGATTTTTCTTTGTTCGTGCAAAAAACGATTGCCTCCAATATCACTATTGCAGTCTATTATCACAGCCATTAACTAAAAATAAGCCCGGCAAATATGTTTTCATACACAATAAATAGTTTAAAAAAAGAAAGCTAGCCGAGAGGCAGGCGAAACGAAGGACCCGCAAGGTGTGATGGTGAACGCGTTAGCACCCGGTAAAGGTAATAGCGCGTTCGTTCCCCACTGCAGACACCTGCGGTACCGAGTTTTGCAAATATCTCAACATAATTGTGACTAAGTAATTATTCTGTCGTGGTTTTTAAAGAGTGCTGCTGGAAAATTTTACACTACACGAGGATATCACGGAGAAACTATGAATGATTTAGACCGTTAAATAGAACAATCCACAAAGGACTTGACTGATCTCCGAGGATTTTGATGGGGTGGATTGAGAGTTGTCACAAAGAAGACGGTAACGCTGTCCACTTACAGGTCAACTAACGGCTAGCAGCTGTGTGCGCTCTAGTGTACATACACTAATCACCAGGTAAAACACCGTGTATCCGATTGCATCACTGACGGAAGGCAACACGAGGTCAACACCTAGACGCCCTTTACTCAGCTGCCTCTACAGCCTGACTTTTTCCATTTCGATCTTGTTTCTTGTAAGAGCTAACTGAGCTTACTGTTTTTGTATACTCTCGTGTGCTTCAGATCGCAGATCACAGTGAATGAAGATGTACACAATGCTCAACCGCATAGCTTTAAAAATGAGATAAAAATAGGAACCATGGACCAGATCAGGTCATTAAGTACAACTAGCTCTTTTCATTGAATGACGGTTTCGGAGCAAATTTTTTTGACCGTAGCTTTTCAGTGGAATAAATTTTTGTTGTTCCTACTGCATATTTTATACCAAATGGATCTGGAGTGTTGTTACATTTTCACCCTCTAACCTCAATCCCTATTGGAGATACTAGTTACCTAAACTGTTATTCTTCTTCGATGGTTCGATATCCGATCGTGGTAGTCATGAGGTGGAAGTCGTTCCAAATAAAATATGTATCCGAAGGACCATTTCAAAGCGAAGATCATTTTTGCAGACTAGTTCGCCATTTTCATCCAGAACCCCACATAAGAGCAGAACTACTGCACCTTCTTGAAATAAGGCAAAAAGCAAAGTATGAAAAATGTTTCACCTATCTACAAGGGATTATGGCTACTATTTAATCGCGATTTGAGATGCGGTTTGAATTAAGCCTCTAGAACTTTTGAAGATGAAGGTAGAGAGCGTGAGTGATGAGGAAACCTCACAAAATGCTGACATTACGATTGCACGGAAGATTTACCATCCAGTGTTTATCGATCATCACATTTTATTTTCTAAGAATGGCTACGCCAAAAACACCTGGGCAAAACAGAAAGCTCATTGGAACGAGTGAAAGATGAAGTCAACTGCCTGTGTTAGCAACAACGGCGAAAAAGTGGCTATCTTTCAGATTTCTAATCCGCTTACGTTTTTAATTTGGAAATCAATTGAAAAGAAATAAGGCGTAGTTCATTGGAATTGTTGTTGGTGTGGCCGAATTCGTCGATCCAGAGTAGTCGAGCCTGCTCGTATCATTGGATATGAACGCCTCCAGCAGCAATAGTCTATTCTCGGTAAACGAATAATTCACATTGCTACGAGAAGTACCAAAACCACCGCCGAAACCAAATAGACAAGTAGTCCATCAATCTATCACTCTCCATGACTTTTCTGGTTCTTCTTTGGATCTTATGATGCATGTGATGGTATAGGAAGAACTTTCCTACCATCGCATACATCGAGATATTTACTGAGTCACTAAATTTTCTGCTGCCAATTCATGAACTCCTTCGGATTCACCGGAAATGCTGATCACTTATCTGCTATAGATAGAAACGCTGCTGAAAGTCTGAACTTTTTGAAATCTTTGTAACTTTCAAAGGTAATTTATGAAATGGGATAACTTATGTTTTCTTGCAGTCTTAGTGAAAATCGTGTTTGAGCTTCATCTTGGTTTGCCTGTCATCACACCACCCTCCCCACTATATCCACCATCTTTGTAACAGAATGTGTTATACCAGAGCTGAGAACATGAACAGACATTTGAATCCACTCTTTTATGAATTAGTACAAGTATGTCATTGGCTGCTGGTCATAATATCTGTCCGTGCTTTTTCTGTGTGAAATGCTGTCTATGAAAGCTCATGAAAGATTTTGGTATCTTTATTTATACTCTCTCAAACAATTTCGGCTTTTAAATGGTGATATGAGGTTATGTCGTACATCAACGTGCTGTCCACCACGTTAACAATTCATGAAGTCGTATTGTGACATCTGTGACGAGGTCGACACCGAGAGACGAAAAGAAAATGAGTGCATGAGTACCTTTGTGTTTGTGTGAACGAGACAGACAAGGGGAATTAAAAGAAGGTAAGGAGATAAAGGGAAGGATGAGGAGAGATGGACAGAAAAACCTGCATAAGCTTACTCAAAAATCGCTGTAGAACATTTCAGTTGGTCAGTAATCATTTTGTTCCAAGGTGACTAATTTATCTGAAGACAGGACTGGTAACTATGAACACTAATAAGTTCATGTTCATGCTACAACGTTAGCGCAAGAGCGCGGACAGGTGACATGCGGCCAGCAACTTGGCCATTATTATGCTTTTACAAACAATGTTTTCTCTCCAATATTGACTAATTCCACTTCCAATCCACCAATTATCATCATCTGCTCTCCCAAAATTCAATAGTAATTCATCATTTATGTTGTTAGAGGGCGGGTAGCGCAAAGATATTCACGCCGATCACCACGAACACGGTTCTGGTTTGACTCCGCACTAGGCTCTCCAATCTTTCGAGGGACAGAAAATAGGTAGTGGATTTATATTGGAATACTTTGCTACCTGCAGTTTATGTGGAGCGCTCTATTCTGGGTGTCTCAGGATTCCAGGTAGAATCATCTTCACCAGCATTCAACGACATTCATGACGAAAGAAAAATGGTCGACCAGCAGTCAGAACCCGCAAAAGAAATATCCAAAGCCTTTCTTTGGTGATGGATGCCAGTCAACGAATCGAATGCAGGAAATCCTAAGAATCGTACATCAGTTGTGAAGGTCAGGTCGCGTAGCAAAATGAGGTTGTCAAAGAGAACTTAAAACCAGAAGTAACTTTACATCTTTAAATGATACTCTTTTCCGGCTTCTTCTTGAGCTTTCCAATCCGTTGTCGATGCTTTTGGCCTTTATCTCGAGCATTAGAAGCTACCGTAATACCCGCGTATATGTTCGCACGAGTCTTTTCTCACAGTGAAGAGGTCTCTCGCAACACTGGCTCGTCGATAAGCAGCCAATACATAATGAATGAAGCTACGAACGAGCGCATGCGCCCCATATTCCACATATAGAAATAACCGTCGATGAAGCACACGCGATGAACACGTCGGATTTTAAGGTGTGAAACTCACCGCGGCACTCCCGTAAGGCTTGTCTGGTGTAGAACACCTTTGCTTTCCAAGCAGTGCAGAACAAACTCAATTGTCTACATAGGTGTTTTTTCTATAGTTTCTATGGTGGGTTTAATAAGCACAGGTCGAATATTATATAGTCAATCTTGATCTGCTTCGTATACGTGCGAGCAAACTCCACTCTGCTCAAGCTCGTAAAGTGATTCCAAGTAGTAACTAGCTCTTTACTGCAAATAGTCGCTGTCATCCCATAAATCAATTGCTAAATCGATAAATATCGAGTACTAAATCAGTTGGAGAGTTAAACCAGCGCTTAAAAGTTTCATTTTAACCACAAACACCCGAATCTGCTTCACCTTTGTCCCGATTTATCAGGATATTTTCACACCATCGTGTTTCATTATTTCATAGAAACAACTAGAAACGTGTTGCTTTAGCACTCTCCACCAACTGTTTTCAACGGCTCATCCTCTTTCATAGAACGAAAGAGAGAAACACAGAATTCTCCACATACAAATAGACAGATAATTTAGTACGCACAAACACAAAAAGCCCATAAAATGTCCGTAACTCATAAATACCGCCGACATCGTTTTCGGACGAGAC